TGTCCCGTTTTCTGATTTGGGTCCTGTGGTAGGTTAGGCGATTACACCTTAAATTGACCTTTTCTTGACGTTAGGAACCTTAGGAGGACGGGCTGTACTATACATATGACCATATAAGTACCATTCTCATGCCCATATAAGTACCATACACGTAACAATATATGTACCATACACATGACCATAAAATGGCCATATAAGTATTTACATAGGCTCGTGTAAGTACCATTGATATGCCCATATAAGTATCATACATATGCCCTTCTAAGTACCATAGATATGTCGTTGTAAGTATCATATATGTGTCTTTGTAAATACCATACATATGCCTTTATAAGTACCATACATATGCCAATATAAGTATCATACATGTCTTTATAAGTTCAGTACTTTTCATGGCTTTATGAGTACTATACATATGGCTTTATAAGGACCATCTTATGTCTTTATAAGTACCATATGATGTCATTATAAGTACCATACATATGCCATTATAAGGGCCATACACATGCCATTACAAGTATCATACATGTCTTTATAAGAACCATACGTATGTCTTTACAAGTACCGTACTTATGACTTTATAAGTACCATACATATGCCATTATAGGTACCATACATTTGCTATTATAAGTACCACACATATGGCATTATAAGTACCATATATTTCCTATTATAAGTACCACACGTATACCATAATAAGCACGATACATATGCCATATAAGTACCATACATATGCAGTTATAAGTACCATACATATGCTGTTATAAGTACCATACATATGCTGTTGTAAGTACCATACATATGCCCATATAAGTACCATTCAAAATACTCTCTAAGTAAAGGAATATTATAGAAATTACTTAATTTTCATTACCCATTTTTAATTCAGCTCTTTATTATTATTATTACATGTTTTTCAACAAATTTTTCTTAATAGTATGTTGAGAAAACACGATGAAATTTTTGATATTTGAGACGGCCGTATCTCGGTAAATATGTGTGTAAAGGCCTTCATATTGAAAATTAGCAAAGAAAGCCTTTACAGAAAGAAATATAAATTGCTGTGGTAAACACAATGGTACCATTTTCAAAGCGATTCTATGGCTAGTTTTGATTTTGAGTTTTGAGAAAAATGACGATTTCGCCCGGGCTGCGATTCTTTCCTGGCAAAAGGCTGTGTGGCAGAAAATGTAAGCTGGTCGCTAAAGTGACGAACTGTCCCGTTTTCTGATTTGGGTCCTGTGGTAGGTTAGGCGATTACACCTTAAATTGACCTTTTCTTGACGTTAGGAACCTTAGGAGGACGGGCTGAGTTAAGTACTATACATATGACCATATAAGTACCATTCTCATGCCCATATAAGTACCATACACGTAACAATATATGTACCATACACATGACCATAAAATGGCCATATAAGTATTTTACATAGGCTCGTGTAAGTACCATTGATATGCCCATATAAGTATCATACATATGCCCTTCTAAGTACCATAGATATGTCGTTGTAAGTATCATATATGTGTCTTTGTAAATACCATACATATGCCTTTATAAGTACCATACATATGCCAATATAAGTATCATACATGTCTTTATAAGTTCAGTACTTTTCATGGCTTTATGAGTACTATACATATGGCTTTATAAGGACCATCTTATGTCTTTATAAGTACCATATGATGTCATTATAAGTACCATACATATGCCATTATAAGGGCCATACACATGCCATTACAAGTATCATACATGTCTTTATAAGAACCATACGTATGTCTTTACAAGTACCGTACTTATGACTTTATAAGTACCATACATATGCCATTATAGGTACCATACATTTGCTATTATAAGTACCACACATATGGCATTATAAGTACCATATATTTCCTATTATAAGTACCACACGTATACCATAATAAGCACGATACATATGCCATATAAGTACCATACATATGCAGTTATAAGTACCATACATATGCTGTTATAAGTACCATACATATGCTGTTGTAAGTACCATACATATGCCCATATAAGTACCATTCAAAATACTCTCTAAGTAAAGGAATATTATAGAAATTACTTAATTTTCATTACCCATTTTTAATTCAGCTCTTTATTATTATTATTACATGTTTTTCAACAAATTTTTCTTAATAGTATGTTGAGAAAACACGATGAAATTTTTGATATTTGAGACGGCCGTATCTCGGTAAATATGTGTGTAAAGGCCTTCATATTGAAAATTAGCAAAGAAAGCCTTTACAGAAAGAAATATAAATTGCTGTGGTAAACACAATGGTACCATTTTCAAAGCGATTCTATGGCTAGTTTTGATTTTGAGTTTTGAGAAAAATGACGATTTCGCCCGGGCTGCGATTCTTTCCTGGCAAAAGGCTGTGTGGCAGAAAATGTAAGCTGGTCGCTAAAGTGACGAACTGTCCCGTTTTCTGATTTGGGTCCTGTGGTAGGTTAGGCGATTACACCTTAAATTGACCTTTTCTTGACGTTAGGAACCTTAGGAGGACGGGCTGAGTTAAGTACTATACATATGACCATATAAGTACCATTCTCATGCCCATATAAGTACCATTCTCATGCCCATATAAGTACCATACACGTAACAATATATGTACCATACACATGACCATAAAATGGCCATATAAGTATTATACATAGGCTCGTGTAAGTACCATTGATATGCCCATATAAGTATCATACATATGCCCTTCTAAGTACCATAGATATGTCGTTGTAAGTATCATATATGTGTCTTTGTAAATACCATACATATGCCTTTATAAGTACCATACATATGCCAATATAAGTATCATACATGTCTTTATAAGTTCAGTACTTTTCATGGCTTTATGAGTACTATACATATGGCTTTATAAGGACCATCTTATGTCTTTATAAGTACCATACGATGTCATTATAAGTACCATACATATGCCATTATAAGGGCCATACACATGCCATTACAAGTATCATACATGTCTTTATAAGAACCATACGTATGTCTTTACAAGTACCGTACTTATGACTTTATAAGTACCATACATATGCCATTATAGGTACCATACATTTGCTATTATAAGTACCACACATATGGCATTATAAGTACCATATATTTCCTATTATAAGTACCACACGTATACCATAATAAGCACGATACATATGCCATATAAGTACCATACATATGCAGTTATAAGTACCATACATATGCTGTTATAAGTACCATACATATGCTGTTGTAAGTACCATACATATGCCCATATAAGTACCATTCAAAATACTCTCTAAGTAAAGGAATATTATAGAAATTACTTAATTTTCATTACCCATTTTTAATTCAGCTCTTTATTATTATTATTACATGTTTTTCAACAAATTTTTCTTAATAGTATGTTGAGAAAACACGATGAAATTTTTGATATTTGAGACGGCCGTATCTCGGTAAATATGTGTGTAAAGGCCTTCATATTGAAAATTAGCAAAGAAAGCCTTTACAGAAAGAAATATAAATTGCTGTGGTAAACACAATGGTACCATTTTCAAAGCGATTCTATGGCTAGTTTTGATTTTGAGTTTTGAGAAAAATGACGATTTCGCCTGGGCTGCGATTCTTTCCTGGCAAAAGGCTGTGTGGCAGAAAATGTAAGCTGGTCGCTAAAGTGGCGTACTGTCCCGTTTTCTGATTTGGGTCCTGTGGTAGGTTAGACGATTACACCTTAAATTGACCTTTTCTTGACGTTAGGAACCTTTCCTTTAGGAACCCACGTTATATGGGCATGAGAATGGAGTACCATTCTCATGCCCATATAAGTACCATTCTCATGCCCATATAAGTACCATACACGTAACAATATATGTACCATACACATGACCATAAAATGGCCATATAAGTATTATACATAGGCTCGTGTAAGTACCATTGATATGCCCATATAAGTATCATACATATGCCCTTCTAAGTACCATAGATATGTCGTTGTAAGTATCATATATGTGTCTTTGTAAATACCATACATATGCCTTTATAAGTACCATACATATGCCAATATAAGTATCATACATGTCTTTATAAGTTCAGTACTTTTCATGGCTTTATGAGTACTATACATATGGCTTTATAAGGACCATCTTATGTCTTTATAAGTACCATATGATGTCATTATAAGTACCATATATATGCCATTATAAGGGCCATACACATGCCATTACAAGTATCATACATGTCTTTATAAGAACCATACGTATGTCTTTACAAGTACCGTACTTATGACTTTATAAGTACCATACATATGCCATTATAGGTACCATACATTTGCTATTATAAGTACCACACATATGGCATTATAAGTACCATATATTTCCTATTATAAGTACCACACGTATACCATAATAAGCACGATACATATGCCATATAAGTACCATACATATGCAGTTATAAGTACCATACATATGCCCATATAAGTACCATTCAAAATACTCTCTAAGTGAAGAAATATTATAGAAATTACTTAATTTTCATTACCCATTTTTTATTCAGCTCTTTATTATTATTATTACATGTTTTTCAACAAATTTTTCTTAATAATATATTATTGTTGTAAACAGTTACTTTACATTTTTCAGACCCAAGTTTATATCACCTATGACAAGTGAGTAAAATGTTGTTACCTGTGATATTTTGGATCACATTTTGTATAAAATTATATATATAATAATGTCTATGTATATATGTAATTTGTGTAATATACATGTAGGATATGACATGACATTACCTTGGATTAGAAAACTCTTTGGCTTATTGAAGGTTCCCCCAGCCAAGGATGAGGCTGTCGGCGGTCACCCATCCTGTGGCCTTCAGTAGATATGCACAGCACTTCGTTTTCATTTCTTAAGGTAACATCCATTTATTGTAAAGTTAACAAAGAAAGATCGGTAAGGCCATTTTCAGGTTTAGTATTTTCATGATAATAAGGACATAACAATGTATTTTGAATTTATTATAAAAATACATCAAGGGCATACAAACGGAAAAGTTAATGAGTAATCTGTATAAAGATACCCCAATATAAACACCTATATCAGAGATAGTGCCACAGTGATACGTATGGGGTTTGGTTATTGATGCAGCTGTATTATGACCAAAATGTAGGATAAAATTAAACTTTAATCAATCTGTAATGTATGCTGGAAACATTATAAATAGATTTAGATAAATATAATTCATGTTCAGACATAACACCAGGTTTGTGAAGTTATTTACAAAAACAATGTCGTGTTTTATGTACAGAACAAATATACTTGGTGTATTTATATATATATATATAGTTAATATGTATTAATACAAAGTACTTTATATGATTGATATAGGTCTGAAGTTAAATTGCTGTTAACATTCACAAATTTGGCAATATTATCACAGAGATAGACTCAAGAGGCAAAGGAGACGTATAATTCTGGGATGGGTTATCAGTGATTAATGTCTGATCAGATGATTAACTGATCCAGTATCAGAGGAAAACTGATTTATGACTGCACTGCCCGATTTGAACTTCTGGGAAATGAGACAGTTTACCAGTGTTAGACAAGATTACAGGCAACTTAAAGTTACTCAGTAACTAGTGGCTAACATGAATTTTTTTTTAAATTTAGCAGTGCCAGCCACAACTTCCGAGTAGCCTAATCGAAGCTGGACTAATCAGCAACTGATGTTGACTTAGTAAGAGACCAGACAGTTAGACACTAACTGACCAGACACTAACCAGTGCCAGGCAAGGGATGTGCTAGTAACCAGCGCCCGGCAAGGGATGTGCTAGTAACCAGCGCCCGGCAAGGGATGTGCTAGTAACCAGCGCCCGGCAAGGGACGTGCTAGTAACCAGCGCCCGGCAAGGGACGTGCTAGTAACCAGCGCCCGGCAAGGGACGTGCTAGTAACCAGCGCCCGGCAAGGGACGTGCTAGTAACCAGCGCCCGGCAAGGGACGTGCTAGTAACCAGCGCCCGGCAAGGGACGTGCTAGTAACCAGCGCCCGGCAAGGGATGTGCTAGTAACCAGCGCCCGGCAAGGGACGTGCTAGTAACCAGCGCCCGGCAAGGGACTTGCTGTACAAGCAACCAAGTTATAAGCAACCAACAACTTTTCTGTGACCCATGAAACTACTGTATTCAGTTCCTTGTGCTTGGATTGGTATTGTTTAAGCAATGCCCTCATTAATATTTTATTGTTTAAATACTTCCAATTGCTTTTAAAGGTAATCTTGGGATGAAAATCCATAGAGAATACAGTAAATTATAGGAAGCACTTTTTTTTATTTATAGTTAGTCGAGGGGGGCTGACAGCTCATTACAAAAGGAGACCCGTAGTAGTTGTGGTTTAACATTCATTTAGCAGAGATTAACTTTTAATTATTTCATGTTTGTATATAAATCAGATTCCTAAAATTAGTTTGTTTATACAGACAGATAAGCAACTGCTGAAATATTAGTAACAGGGTTTTGGAAATACTTTTCTTTTTACACAGTACTGTAGATTAATGTACTTGGTTGTGTGGTCAGGGGGGAGGAGGACGGGGAGGGGAGGCCATGTTCCTACATAGCTTCTTTGTATATTTTGTTAATGTTGATTATTAGTTTAGTTATATAGTATTTGATATAGAAACCTAGATAAAGTTCTCATACTTTATGTAACGAACAGGTCAAATTATTTCTGGGGGGAGCCCCCCAGTGGCTTGCTGAAGCTATTTAGAGATTGCTCTATGCAAATGGGGTCCATCAGATGTGGGATTTCTGTTTGGCCTACTGGGGACCACAGCCAAAACCTGGCCTCCTTATAGAGATGTTGTGCTCTGCGTTCCTTCCCAGGGTGCCCGCTAGTACCGCCCCTGCGCTGACATCTCTGGTGTGTTTGGGAGTTTATCCATGAGAGGCCAGGCCACCGAGGTGGAGAGCTTCACTTAGGGTTATTCAAGAGTTCTTGCCTCCTCTGTTTGGACCCTTGGCTAGGGAGATTGTTGGTTGTTCTGGGGTGCACTTGGGCTCGCATGTTTGTTCATATGACATGCAGCAGTCACCAGGCAAAGAGGGACTTGGCAGACCTATGGCATATCCTCAATCTTTAGATTTGAATACCTTCATTCTCTGTCCAACCTCCCACATGACCATCACACCTCAAATGCACCTGGTTTTACAGGCTGACAGTTCCTGTCTCAGAAGATAGGCTCAACTATGTGCACTACTTCACTGGTTCAAGATTGCTTAGTGTTCGTTTTGCCACTGTTTCTTTGTTGTCTTTTGGAAGTTTCCGTTAAGGCTGGCTTGTTCTTTTTCATCTTAGTTGTTTCTAGATCGGCATCTCCTGCCTAATACTATTGAGTCATATCGATAGGCATTGACCAAGCCACTGCTGCTTCTGTTTATTGTTGACTTTTCCTTGGCTCCATTCTGCAAGTAGTTTCATGCATTTTTTCATCTTCAGACAGCTCATGCTGCTCCTGAGCCATACTGGTCTCTTGACTGGGTGTTGGCCTGCCTCTTCTCACCATTTTACAATTCCCCCTTCAGCTTTTAATATCTTTCTCAAAGCTATGTTTTTGTTGACTATTGCCTCTGGCTGTAGGGTTAGGATGCACCAGGCTTTTCTCCAGAGGTGGGGGGCTTTCCTCCTTTTGTCCTGGTGGGTGGTTTGTTCATTTATAGCTGCCTTCTTTTCTGGCAAAGAATGAGTTGGCCATCTTTCAGAGGGGTCCATTGATGCTGGGTTTGTCTAGAGGGGTGCATCACTTGTCTGGTGGCGACTCTTCGACATTACCTGTGGGTCACCAGTTCTGCTTCGGTGGATGCCTTGCTGGTTGATCTCATTTCCTTGGTCCCCTGTTCCAAGGCTTGTTTTCCAAGTTGTCTGCAGTGTCATCAAATCTAGCCAGCTTGTGATATACTCTTGGGCCCATGATGTTCACAAGTATGCTGCACTGACCAAAATCTCCTCTAACATATCCTGGGCTGATATCCAGGCTTGGGGTTTTGGCACCCTGGTTAATGTCTCTGGTCCCAAATGGTCATGTGTTGCCTTGGGCTGTTTCTTCCGGCCTGGATTCTCTTCTTTGTCCTAGTGCACACCACCTCTCCTCCCTGGCAAGTCCCATTTTTTGTCTGTGTTTAGCTTCACAGAGCCACCAGAGGTTTCCCCAGAAATCCAGCATTAACTGTAATGAAACGCCATCTTTTGGACAAACTCCGGTGGGTCCTGGACTTTTTCTCTCTACCAGGTTAGTAGATTAATCGATGTGCTGTTCATCAGCTTCAGAACATGGAAGAAAGATGGCTGCATGTGGAAGCCAGGTTGCCTGGTGGTGGCATTCATTATGTAATTATAATTATTATTATGTAATAATTACATAATTATACCAGTTTTGAACGTTTCTGTTCTGTGTGACTTGTCTGTGGAGTTGTTTGGCATTTGAGGCTCTGGTCTCTGTTAATGCTCCAGTTGTCTGTAAAGCTTTGCTGGTTTTCTGGATGCTTTCCCAGTGGGGGTGGAGAATTGTCACTTGCTCTCTGTACCTCTGTAAGGGGGGAGCCAGGTTTTGGTTCTGGTTCCCGGTGTGCCAAACAGACTGATGTGACCCACTTGCCTTGCATGGCGCTATCTCGATAAGAATGCTTCAGAGTCGCTAAGGATCATCCAGAAATAGGTGTTTCGTTACATTCGGTGCTGGATTTTTGTGAAAACCTGATAGTAAATTCCCTCATTTTGCTTGCAGTAGTTCTTGCATTTTTGTTACTATTGAAAATTTGTACATGTAAAATAATTGTATAGCAATAATACAGACTATAATGTGTGAGACATTCATTTGTGTGGTTTATGATTTTTAAAATGGTAAAAAATTTTAACACTTAACATACTGTACTTCAGTTTAATTAGGATAGCTTGTCACAGTTTTGTATGCTTCTCAAACTTCTTTTCTGCATTTGAATTTAGTGTGTCCTGTATAACAAAACTGAGAAAAGACAACAACAATAAAAATCCCGATTTGACTGCTGTTGCTGTTCTGCAAACAGAAAATTATATCACCCTTCACTGTCTGTGGTTAGAGTACTAATATAATCTTTGTTGGGCTTTGCATGCCAAGACCTTCACGTAAACGGCACTGATCTAGTGTTAAAGAGCATCATCTACAGTTCGGTATCAAAGTGTTGTTGATGCTGTAATACCAAGTTGCCAATTAGTTAGCCAAGGTTATCTTATTTTTACTTGGTGGTTGTATTAGTCTTGATTTTCTCAAATGTCCTCATTACTAACCATATCACTGTTCACAAATGGTCTTAATTATTTTTGATGTCGGTAGTAATTGTCCTCACCAGCGCAGGTCACACTCTGCATCACTTGTGTGGTCCCTAATGGAGGAGCCGCCCTCACTTAGTCGACGACCTACAGCCGGACTCCTGCAATACAACACTTTTCTCAGGGCAGATTAGGACATGTACCATACAGACTGAAAGTAAATTTTATATAATGTTAGCCTTTAGCTATTACAGTACATTAGTTCCCATCTTTTGCCATAATATCTGCATTTATTCCCATTCTTTTGCTAATAATGCACATTCCGTTCTTTATGATATGTGCAGTTGTATGAATTGAGGATTACTGAATTAAAATTTAAGGATTGTTAATAGCTTAGTTATTAACAATCGTTAGCTTGATAGCTAAGATATTAACAACTTCAATTAAGGATTGCTGTTAACATCTGTTAATAGCTTCAAAGGCACATGTCGAACTATAGTAAAAGTTGTACAGTGGTTGGAGTCTCATCTTTGCTTTCTCTGAGTATGTAACTGGAGAACTGTGATGAGTACCTCGGGTGGCGTGCCGGGCGAAGGGTGTGCTGTTGGTGGTGAGGCTGCGGCCGACGTGTCTTAGGGGAACCGGACGCTGCGGGGGACCCTGTTGCCAGACGCCCACACATCAGACGAGAAAAACTTGTATTACATGTTACTTAAGTACAGATAATTTATATGCTAATATAGTACTTAAAACATTAAACTTAACAAAAAGATTCATGTTAAATAACCTTACAATGATGAGTAGATCTTCTTGAGGTTATCTCGAGATGATTTCGGGGCTTTAGTGTCCCCGCGGCCCGGTCCTCGACCAGGCCTCCAACCCCAGGAAGCAGCCCGTGACAGCTGACTAACACCCAGGTACCTATTTACTGCTTGGTAACAGGGGCATAGGGTGAAAGAAACTTTGCCCATTGTTTCTCGCCGGCGCCTGGGATCGAACCCAGGACCACAGGATCACAAGTCCAGTGTGCTGTCCGCTCGGCCGACCGGCTCCCGAATGGATACCCGCCAAACACACGACAAAACTATGACGTTGCTAAAGCGTTTGAACAAGTTAACACCTAACAGTTGTAACAACCAATATACCAAGTTGCAACAATGTTTTATTACGTCATAAAAACATTGTAACATCTTGTTATAAGTTATAATGAGGGAATCATAGGGACTGTTACGTTGTGTGTTTGCAGGGTAGGTAGATTAAAATTTGATCAGTTATTGTAAAGAGATAAATAAATTTTGAGACCGAAAAAGGCAGCAATATAAATAATGGCTCTGTCTCTGTCCCATCCATCAAAATGGGTAACTGAGGTCAAGATGGATTGGTTCACATTTTTTCCGAAGTAGTGGAATAGGCGCTTTAAGGAACACAACTACAAGTACTGTACATAATTATTGCAGGATAGAGAAAAAAAATGTACACATGAAGTGCAACAGTTCAGCCCACTCAAAGAAAGCTAATGAAAAGTAGTAGTAGTCAGGGTCTCTTCTTGCAGCAGGACAAAAGCATGTCTTAATGTTTCCTTTCACCTGATGCCTCTGTTCGTCTAGCAGTATATAGGTACTCAGGAGTTAGGCAACTGTTGTAGGTTGCATCGACAGAAAGGTCAGTAATATCTTACTGACACTAATATTGTATGTTTATCTTCATACAACAGGCAGTGCACAAAAAGTGATAAAACAGGTCATAATGGCATTAAAAATGTAACAAGAAATTGGCATAGAGATATGGAGGGAGGCACCAGAGTACCAGCCATGTGAAAATGATATAGCAGCAAAAAGCCAAGGACCAGTCTATATTGTTACATAGTCACACAATGGAGAAAAATAACAGTACAAGATCATATAATAAAAAATGAAGAAACTGAGAATTGTTCACATGGAATGAGACTAGGAAACGTGCAAGAAACTCGATAAGACCTTACAGATCTATAAAACAAAACCAGAGTAAAGATCAAAGGTGGCAAATGACACAACCTGAAGCAACATGAGATAGAACAGCAGTCGCCGAAGAAGTAATAAGACACTTCTGAGAAACTAGATGTAACAAAAGCACTAGGTCCAGATTGGGTATCTCCATGACTGTTGGAGGTGGAAATGTGTTAACGAAAACTATCAAATACTGGAGGGCTGATGAAAACTTGAAAAAAGGCAAATGTACTCCAACACACTACTTGTCTGTTACTTTTGTTGTAAGGACACGGGGACATTTTAACAGTTCCCTTTGTGTAGTGGCAAGAGACTTGCCTGGCGTTTCGTGAGAGCTTTGTCCCGAGTTCGTATCCTGGCCATGGAAGATTTACTAGACGTTAATCCTTAACTGTAACCTCTGTTAACCCAACAGTAAAATGGGTACCTGGTTGTTAAAAAAAGGATTCAGATTCTGGAGAACATGGGATTAAGGACTTGCCTGAAACATTACGCATGTTAGTGGCTGTACAAGAATGTAAGAACTCTTGTATATGTATATGTATACGTGTGTGAGTGTGTGTGATATATAAGTACCTAACTATAAACTAGTGTCACTTATGTGTACTCTCTGCAAAATACTGGAAAAGTAGTCAGTAAGAAAATAATGCAACATCTGGAGAGGATAAATGTAATAGATGGCCAAAATGTTTCAGAGGGAGGAAAAAGTGATGTCTGGGAGATCTGATCAGTTCTATAATGGGGGTCACTAAGACATGACAGCCAAAAATAAAAATAGATGGTAGACTGCATTATTTTTAGACTTAAAAAATGTTACTGTTCCACATAAAAGTCTAGTGTACAAGTTTGGAAGACAAACTGCAATAACTGAAAACACTTAACTTGGTAAAGAAGTACTCGATGAATAAGAAACAAAGGGTCACATCTCATGAAGATGTGTCAGACTAGAGGAATATGGCAAACTGCCCCAAAAGGCTCAGTCTACATGGGCAGGTAGCAAACAAAGAATAGCATTAAAAAATATAAGTATGAACTCCCTCAAGACTATTTACACAGCATATATGAGCCCAGTACACAAGTATGAAGCACACGCATGGAATAGCTCCTCATAAATCACTAAAAGAAACTGAAGAAGTCCAGAGGATAACAACAATACAAGTACAGTACCTCTGTTAAGAGGACCAAGTTACAAAAACAGGTTAAGGGAACTCAATTTAATGACCCTAGAATAGAGCAGGACCAAAGGAAACATGATCACTACATATAAAATACAGAGAGGAATATGCAATGTAGATAAAGATCGACAGCCTCTTTAAATTGAGAAAAAAAAAAAGACCAAAAAGACGTGTGGATGTTGACACTGCAACTAAGTCAAGCAATGGAAAGGATGTACAGTATACTTATACTTTGTATGGGTGGCCAACTTGCTCAAAACATTAAGAAAGAACGAGTGCTTTTATGCCTATATAAAAAATAGAACCAAGACAAAAGAACTGGCAGGACTCCCTAAAAAAATGAGACCAACTAAGTTATAATTTACATAAAAAAAAAAACAGCCAACACTGAATGTGTACTTTACATCAGTGGGTTACACTGGAAAGATTAGTCAGTGTCCCAATACCCCCACAAATGTTTAAAGCAGGAGAAGAGAATGAATTAAGGGATAATCTCATAACGTGCAAAACAATCAAGAAGAGCGATGACACATTAAAGGATTCAAAAGCCCCAAAAGCCTACTAATAGAGAATCTGTCAGGTAATTACTGTGCAGAGTAAGCAGTGCTCATAGGTGGTTAACTACCTTGAACTACTGAGCATACAGTAAAGCTACAGTACTACAAAAGCATGATATTAATGACTGGATTATACTTAATGAATTAAGGTAACATGTACGGTAACTAAATATTGCAGTTGAAAAGTTTGTGGCAAACACGTTATTGTTTTTAAAAGAATACTGTATTATAAACAAGATGAACTAGGTAACCTATAATGACACAGCTAGGCCTACTGCGTGTCACACTGCTGTCTACATGGTATGCCAGACTTTCCCTGTTTTCTTGTGATTTTTATCATTACTTTCAAAATACTTGAGAAAAATACCTGGAGGCAGTTGTATACTAATAACACAATGCCTCTTAGGCATAATAGTTTCCTACTAGCTCAACTAAGGTTTTTTTTTTTTTTAAGGAAAGAAATCTACTCCATTGACAATCAAGCATGTTTAAGAGAGAAAAATATTTATGGTCGTATTCCATGGACCAGAGATTTCCAAGTTATAAGTGTATATTTCCCTTTCGGCCTACATAAGCACAAGGACTAATTGAAGGTTAACCCCTGCACTGCGCACCTGGTTTCGGCAAAACTTCTTGGGGCAAGCAAGTTCGTGAATAAATTTGATACTGGCCTACATAAACAAAGCACAAGGACTAATTGAAGGTTAAGGGGGGGGGAGGGGGGTAAAGGTTAAGTGGTGGTAGAGGTGGGGGAAGTGAATTAAGGGGAGCAGCAGTATGACACATGCAGCAGTAAGTGTGACAAACCTACTGGTCCTGAGATGACGCAAGGGGCGGCGGTGATGGGGTGGACAGCGGGCATCAGACCCGGCGTCAAGTACACTGCCATATTCTTCTGTTTCTGAAGCCTCGTAAGGAAACCCCCTCGGTGGCCGGGGCTCGCGCTCATTCTGCCAACAATGATGGGAACTGTATTTGCAAAATATGGATATAAATGAGGAAATTAACATTCTTATGACAATAAAAGTACCTTTGTTATATACATCAATAACATAGATTAGAATATTACAAACCACATCATTAAATTTGGAAATGACATCAAGATTTAACCATACTTCATGGTAAAGTGGGAAGTGAAAATGATAACGAGGCCTAACAAACAGAGCTACATTAACTCCACAAATGGTCAAAAGATTGGCAAATGCTTCTCCTAGAGGGAGCTGATAAATGATCATGACATGCAAGCATGGGAAAATTTCAAAAAGGTCATGACTGAACTTGTTAAAAAAATGAGCCAATAGGAGAAAGAAAAGAAAGGGCACTAGAACACACTAGTAAAAAAGAGCTTTGCTAACTAAGCGGAACCTCTGAAGAAGGTATATATCCACAATCATCATAGATTTTGATACATTCTACCAAAACATGATGGGCTGTGTCCTCCAGTATCCAAATTTATTTTGATATATTAATGAAAGTGGCATGAGGATCTGTGAAGGGTCAACTTAAAGTACTAAGTTAAGCCAACTTACTATGTTAGGAGAATCGACATCATGTAGTGAAGGTGCCTGGTAGACCAGAGCTGTGAAGGCTTTCTGCCCACGTGGTTGTTGGTGGTGGGCGTGTGTGGGCGGTGAGGGTGGCGCAGGGGGAGGGGGGCTCCCTCCACCCATCTGGAAGGTTGCTGTGGCATAGGGGTAAAGATCCTCCTCGCTGTACTCTCCTGCAGGAAAAAATCAGTCACAAAGTTGAATAACGTTAGGGTGTCAGCTGATCAGTAATAGAACAATTCTTTGAGATGAATTAAGGCTAAAAGAATTTTTATGAAAAGCACCTTCTTGAGCATATTCTGCCATTATCAAATTGTCTTAAAGACTTGCAAAGTCAAGATACAGCAGGTACAAAATTATGGTTGAGCTATTTCACCTTATAAATGACAAATAAATCTAGCTGCTTAGTTGACAGTATTATATATGTACAGTTTAAACAACTTGCAAAGGGTGGGTATGTGCTGCACTTATTTGGGAAATGAACAGTTTTTCATATTGGAATTTGCACTGGAAACAAATGTATCATGCTGCTGTTGATATCCTGCAGGATCCTGCTATATCGATCATGTCTTGTACAGACACCAAACCCCCCTCTCAAACCACCTGGATAGTTATCTAGATATTTGTGATGATCTGAAAGTACATTATGGTTCCAATAATAGTCTACTTGCGCATAATGAAATTACCGTAACGTGATGTATAAATGAGCAAACCAGTAGGAGCCACATGGAGGATTCGAACCCACACACTTGGTACTCTCACGTGATCTAGGGCGTGGACCTTGGGAGTACCAAGTGCGTGGGTTTGAATCCTCATCGTGGCTCCTACTGATTTTCTCAATACTACCTGTAAACTGTTAAGTTAATCTTAGTCCTAAACAGAGAATATTCTCAGGTTATAACTATTGTAATATAAGTACTGTAGTTGGTTTAAAATATAAAAAGTCTATTCTTAACTCATTTTCTTTGAAATGGGTTTGAGAATAAGATTTTCTGTATATGAAATTTTAGGGTACACACACAGTTTTTGAATGCCATATTTCACATTTTTTAAAAATAACACACTGTATTAACATAACCAAAAGTAATGGAACCTATTCTAACCATGGACAGAGTTGATAATATATAGTACTGTAGTGATATTATAGGTAGTAGATATCAATAATTTACATGGTGGTTTTGAAGTTATTATTACCTGGGGATCTTCTCCCTAAGGACAGGTTGCAACACGTAGCACATAGTAATGTGTATGATTATACGTTACTTGGATATGACATTTAATGATTATGCAAAACTAGTACATTTAAGTTAAGGGTGAGCAGAGGTGTGAAACACTATCAGGAAGTTAAAAGAAGACAGATGAGTGATTAATACAAGGAACCTTTTGTCTATCAAACCTGTGTTATCTCTGATAACTTGCTGCTGCTGCTGGGGAGGTGTAGGAGCTGGTCTCCTGACGGTGGTGTAGACATCCTCACGCGCTTGCATCGCGGTCTTCTCCTCTGCTGCGCTTGTTACTCCGTCTGGCACCTCCTTCTGTGCCGGGCTGCTGGAGGGACCTGTGTAAAAGTAACATGTTTCTTGTCATATTGTGATGGTGATCGTTTCCAAAATTCGTAGCACTTATAGACTGTATACTTATGAAAAATTTGCAACAAACCTAATTGGCATTATTGTACTGCATCAAAACCTTTATTCTTGTGATTTTTAGAAAGGTTGGAAAAATCTACTTTATGATACTTTACTACAACAAGTTTCAAGGTATACTTAATTCAAATATACTATTAATATTAATTGTGAGGAAAGAGGATATGCTAACAAAACATGAAAACAATATACACCTCTGCGGAGGAAGTATTATGCATTTAACAGAAACGAAAGATGTAATTTTTCCCAGGAGAGAGAATACTCACGCTTCCTGAGGCAGATGCAGACGGTGGCGACAGTGAGGAGGAGAGCCATGGCGGAGACTGCAGCAGGGACCAGCACCCGGGGGTCACGCCACACTGGGGAGCTGGACGGGGCGCTCCCCCACACACTCCCACCAGCGCCCACACCTCCCACTCCTGCAGGGTGCCCAAGATTTGTGAACACTAGATAGGAAATGACCTTAATTTAAAATTTTCCCTAACACTCGTACCAAGTTCATGGATACAACCCTATTTTGAAATTTTTTCCAGCCAACTTGTCCATCCAGTAATTACAGTACCCACAGCGACTCTAGATAAAATGACACAGTTGGACTGTTTCACTCAAAATGAGTCTACGTTTTGTACTGTATTTTGCTGAGGACCCCGAGAAAGAAAGTAATAACTAAATCAGATTTTTCTTAGGCTTAGTATAGTGCATGTATGCACTAAATTAGGTCTAAGATTATGTATACTTGGCCTAGAATTGTTAATTTAGACCTAGACCCTCCAAAGGATACCTGATCAACCAGGCTGTGACTCATACGTCAGGCTGCGAGCAGCCGCGTCCAACAGCCTGGTTGATCAGTCCGGCAACCAGGAGGCCTGGTCGACGACCGGGCCGCGGGGACGCTAAGCCCCGGAAGCACCTCAAGGTAGAAGCACCTCAAGGTAGACTAGGTTAATGTTAGATTCCAGCATTTGCCATGCCCCTGAGGATTCTAATACAGTAATTTTAATTTGTGGGTACAAAAGTCCTGCTGTGAATGCCTTTTGGGGCTCTGGGTACTATCACTTATGTGGGAATGGTTGTGTCAAATTAGTATAAACATTTAGATAGTACATACCTGTGTGTCCCATGCCTGGTGTAGTGACAGTGTAGTGGGCAGGTGTAGCTCCTGCCGCGTTGTGGGCGGTTACCCGCAGTTCGTAGCGGGCACCAGCATCCAGTCCGCCCACGGCAAAGGTGCGGGCGGGTGGCACCTCGCTGCCCACTACCAGAGACAAAGGTACTCAGTCCATGTCAAAAGGCTATTTGTAATTATTATGTATGAAAGGTCATGTTAAAAAACACCACCAGACACTTTAGTTTATCCATCTACCACAACAACAGCTAATCCGCCAGCTTTGTAAAGGGAACATTTTGTGTTCATGTGTATTGATAATCATTTACAATAATTTGTTTTGTTGGGGACAGGAAGCCTGTGTGTACACACACACACACTACTTATATCAAGGACCCTCCCTCCCTAGGTTGAACGACTGACCCTCTGCAGGATGAAACCGGACAATAGTTGCTTAATTCTCGAGTAGCTATTTACTGCTAGGTGAATAGAGCCATTAGGTGAAATGAAACATACCAAATCATTTCTGGCCTGCCAGGAAATCAAACGGATTCCCAATTGTGAGTCCAGAACGAAGCCAACTGTATTTAACGAGTTAGCTGAATGTCTGTGACAATCATATATCACAATCATGATGGCTCATAAGTATACAGTTGGAAAGTTGTCCTAAGTTGTTCACTCTGCAGATTGATGAAGATTAAGCCAGCCAAGAGATGGCACGGGCATGAATAGCCCCGTAAGACAGACTGCCAACACCCTTCACTTGGTGGCCAGCCATGGGAGTATTGGAACTAATTCCTTTTGCTTCAGTTCACTGGCCTCCTTTAGTTTGATATTCGGTCTGGCTGGTCATTTCTTTATTCCAACTACAACAGTCTGTTATAGCAGTCCGGCCAGGAGAAACTTGACACTCCACTGTTGACATTTTATACATGCTCTTCTGCCGGATGTGTGGAGCACTATACATTGTCTTGGAAGGAAAATTTGATTATGCCATACCTAAATATCTCGTGATTACACTGACTGGATTCTTCCCATGTGTGTACGCTTGGTGTTGGAGGCTCCATTATTGTCCAAATTTTACTCGTGAAGGACATCTCCCTGCCATTGTAGATTGACTTTTGTAGATGGGCTTGGTTCCCTGTCCTGTATTTTGGCTGATATCAGCTGTGACTGATATTGTGATCAGCTGTTTTCTATTGTGTTTACTGAATGATCTGTAGTTTACATCGAGAGGATTGTCTTCATTATCGTCTCATGGCTGCCAAGTTTGACTAGGATGTATACCTACCGTTGGAGTTTACATTTATTTTCCTGTGTTTATTTATACTGCTTCCTGGATCTTTGGTGCCAGTATTAGCTGTCCTAATTTTTCATGCATGTTTGACCCTTTTGTATAGTCACTTGGCAAACTGCTATAGCTGCTAGAACATAATATCTTCCTAATTAATATAAATTAGATAATTTTCATAAAAGAATAATTTACAAAATATAAAATTTTCTTAGATTAAGGACCTGCCCGAAATGGTGCGCGTACTAGTGGCTTTACAAGAATGTAATTACTATGCTATGTATCCTCAAATCCCAATGTACCTATTTGTATATATAAATAAATAATTAAATAAATAAATATATCACTGAAATCCTTTCTAAGACTTACCAGTGGTCCAGTGTCTGATGGAGTCCCGGCGGTACTGGACGCTGAAGTGGGTGATGGGGCAGCCACCGTCGCCCCACTGGGCCAGGTACAGCGTCGCTTGTGAACTGTTAGTGGTGACGAACTGGAACTGCGGAGGAGCCTCGGGAGGCCGGCCTTTAGTACGAGCAGCCTCTGTTGATGAGGCCGCACTTGTACCTGTTGGCACAGAGGAGGTGTTGACCTTGAGAGTTCAAGTTCAAGTATGTTTATTGAGACAAGAAAGAAATACATCTCAAAGGGATAGAGTAGCTTAGGTTATTTCTATGAGAGGCAGCAGTCATTTACTCCCCGCCTGAACTTATTCATGTATGTCTAACCTACACTTAAAACACGATCCCACGTCTACGACGTCACCTGGTAACGTGCTCCATAATTTAACAACCCACCTTTATCACAATTCAAATCAACTCGCCCATCTACCTCTCAACACACACATGAGCACAAGATTAAAATGTTTTACGTAATTGAAAGTTGAAACTAAATGAATACAGTAGCACCCCATATATTAGATAACTCCAGCAAATCAGATTAACGACAGAACATGAGGCAGGTCTGCAGAGACAAAAGCAAATATTATTGAACACAGCATACAAGAAATTATACATATATGAAGAATAAGAAAACACAGCAATAAGGTGGTGATAAGGGAAAAGATTGAAGATGGGAATGTCTTACAAACCCACGGTGAAGCAGAGAGGGGGAACAAGAGGTGTTTAATGCTGCTGCAGCTGTGGTACTCATACCGATGTGGTTGAGGGCGGTGAGGTAGAAGTGGTGCAGAGTGCCGCATCGGAGGTCCCTGGCGGTGAAAGACCTCTGCTCCCCGTTCACGGCTGCTGTCACCCACTCTCCGCCAGCAGACCTGCAGACAAACACATGGTATATTACGGTCTGGCTTGCAGGCGATGAGTCACAATAACGTGGCTGAAGTAATCTACTTGAGAATGGTCCAGGACGGACCTAAACGTCGTCGTCCCTTCACCTTCTAGTGTGTGGTCTGGTCAAACAATCTGGCTTCCAGCCTTGCTACACTACACTCACCCACACTCACAACTATTAATTCACATTGTACTGTGCTATACTAATCTGAACCGTTGCCTAACTATTCTACATTGACTTGTCATGCCGCTGTAAGGGGTTATATTGAGCTGTAATATGCAATATACAGGTCTGATATACTGAAGCAGTGTACAAATTATACTGAACAGTACATCAATATACTGAGCTTTACTGAAATATACAGATATATATTGAGTGTGCAGAAGTATGAGCTGCGCTGCCATTGAACTACAGTATATATTTTTGGCTGTACCTCCATTGTACCACTTTATATTGAATCTATACTGCCAGTGTCCAGTGCTATGATGAGCTTTGCTACACTGTATTACACAACGGCTCATGTAGTGTAGCATTACAAAGGACTATGTTAATCTATAACGGCGCCTATTACATTTAAAACAATGGTAATGACGAACAAAGAGCAAATCTGCCAGCGTGTCACGAGCAGCAGTATGGAAGGAGGCAGAGAGGAGACTTACCTGTAGTGGAGGGTGGCCCCCTGAAGGGCGGCGCCCCCTGTGTCCTCGACGCTCCACTGGACCCTAATGGAGGAGGACGTGGTCTCTGTGACGTGCAGCGACGGCGCTGAAGGAGGCACTGCGCGAGATAACCCCGAAGTCAACAGTCATCAACAGGAGAAAATGTATTATCGTACGACTTTACAACTGAAAGAATTCACAAAACTATTAGTCATAACTACCTCACACCATTGTCTGACGCAAAGCTGGCTTGGGGAGGTAAACCCAACCAATTCCCGTTGTTGGCTACATGAATCCTAACACCCCCCCCTCCTCCTCTTCCGCCAATTAAGCCAACTACTGACCTTCTCCAGGATGTAACCCCACAACCATTTCGACCTCCAAGGTACCTATTTTACTGCTAAAATGAGCCTAGACACCTAGGTGAGAGGAAACGTGCTCAACTGTTGGCCCCCTCGCGGGAAATTAACCTGGGTCGCTCGATTGTGAGCTGAGGACGTAGACTACTGTGCTATAGGATCTCAATTAGAGTAATAGATGTGTCGAGGGGTAATATTGACCATTTATGACTGTAAAGTGGCAGAACCACTGAGCCAGCATGAATTTGAAAGGATGGTACAGTACCCAAGTATGACATACTACGTGCAACACTGACCTAGCGTGATATACTACGGTGCAACACTGACCCAGGACGGTGAGGTTGTAGGTGACGGTGTCACTGCCGTGGTGGTTGGTGGCAGTGCAGGTGTAATGGCCACTGTCAGCCCGCTGGATGTCAGCCAAGGTGAGCGTGCCGTCAGGCTGGACCTTGAAGCGGTCGTGTCTGGCAGGAATGAGCTTCCTCTGGTGGGTCCAGGCGAGAGTGGGCTCCGGCACGCCCACCGACCCACACGGCAGGCTCACGTCCTCCTTCCACGCCGCTGTTACATTCCCGCCCACCGCCCACACGCCCGCGGGCACTGCCGGAGGACAGTTATGGTCAGTTAGTGCACGAACTGTAGTCACTTCCGCCCACCGGAGGTAACTCATGCAGGCATATTAGTGCGCCACACCAGTGGGACAATATTATTACACAGAGAAATCACATTAGCGTGATGAATCAATGAGAAAATCCGTAGAAACCATGATGAGGTTGTGCTCATCCTCATCATATATGCTTGGGAACACCCAGAGCATAGGTTCGAATCCTCACCTCGGCTCCCACGGATTTTACAATGATTAACATTTAAATTAACTCAAATCCCTCATAAAAAACTTAGTACATTAAATGCTGTCTGTGATTTACATAATATAAAGGCATTCTATTATAATGACCAATTCAAATAATTATGTATACACAGTATATAGCATTTTGAAACGCCGAAGATTTGGCGTAGTTATGGGACGTCAAAGATTTGGCGTACCTGTGTGTGAAGGCTTGACCACCGCTGTGGCGCTGGCCGGCCCCTCGCCCATCCTGGTCGACGCCGTCACCCACACCTGCGGCGCCCACGTAAGACAAGAAGCATCACCAGACTGATTGATTGATTGATGAAGATTAAGCCACCCAAAAGGTGGCACGGGCATGAATAGCCCGTAAGTGGTGGCCCTTTGGAGCCATTATCATTACCTGATACTGGAGATCTGTGGAGATGCGACTGCACCCTGCGTGACGGGAGATGTCTCCCCCGTGTTGATTGATTGATGAAGATTAAGTCACCGCAAGAGGTGACACGGGCATGAGTAGTAGATGTTTGGAGTGAATGTGGTTTTTGGTCGTGTATCAGGAGAAACGCAGTGTATCTATATAGCAATTGAAAGGTGATGAGGGAAGTGATCTGGGATATGACTATGGAGAGAGGACACTGTATAACTACTTGGGCCACAGAGGATCGAACGCAGACCCGAAGTAGATAGGCAGCCTGGTGGAGGGGAGAGCAGCTTCAAGAGTCACTATACCTGCCTACGTTAATACAACCGTCTATGCATTTACATCTATACATTTATAGATTTATACTATACATTTAGCTAGATTATCAAGCTAAACCAATATTATCTCGTGCAACAATGTGTATTATTGTTTTTGCTGCAGCTAAACTGTCTCGTGTGATATTATCAGATGTTAATTAAGAAACATTAAAGTTATGCAACGCGCATCTGGCAATAATGTTAATAGGAATTACTTACACATTTATTTATGACATGTAGGGTGAGGAGGATAAGTGTGAGGTGTGAGGTAGGTCATGCAGGGTCAGGTGGGTGGTGAGGGTACTGACCTGGTGTGTGGTGTGAGGCAGGTCATGAAGGGTCAGATGAGTCAGGTGAGGATCCACACGCCGGCTGTGGGGGCCGCCCCGCCCACCCGCCGGCTCCCAGTGCACCGTGTAGCGGCTGATACGCCCATGTGGGCGTGAGGGCGGCGCCCACGACACCACAGCCGCCCGCGGACCTGACACCACGGCCTTCACGCGCGCCGGCGACTCTGGCACTGTAGGCGAAGCAGACATTACTGTCGCTGGTTCAGCAGACTTGTTAAGAGGTGTTACTGGGACAGAGGGAAAGCGGAATCAGCAGCACTCTGGAATGCATCATGTCAGAGGACGTGCAGAAGACACTGCGTCAAAGGACGTGCAATAGAGCACGGAGGAGTACAAACTTACCGTCCTGGTCGGTGGTACAGACGATGGCGTGGGAAGGCGTGCCTTCTCCCGCCCTGGTGGAGGCACTGACGGTCAGGGAGTAGTTCGTCCAAGGGAAGAGTCCTGCTAGTGTCGCTCGCTGGCCCTCCGACACCACGCTGCCACTCCGCCCGACACCATCTGCCACACACACCACACAATTTTACAATACGAGACGTGAAAGCGATGAGTCACAATAACGTGACTAAAGTATGTCGTGGCTAAAGACAATCGACTTGAGAATGGTCCAGGACAGACCGAAACGTCGTCGTCCCTTCACCTTCTAGTGTGTGTGGTCTGGTCAACGAGACGTGAAATCTTTTTTTTGAGGGGGGTCCCACCAGTACATACTCGTACGTTCAAACAGTAACTATAGGTGTGTTATAACTAAGTGTATATGGGTTGCAATTTTGATACATGACAAAACGTGACACCTCGACACACTGTGTGTTAATGCGGACATGTGTCACGAGGAAGCTTTTGTCAAGATCCGACACATGATACGTGTTGTTATGAGCAAGAGAGACTGGGTCCTGGTAAGGTAATGCTCAGGAGAAAGCGCCAATACATAACGCCTATACAGCATTTGGAAGGGATATGAGGATAAGGACAACTCGGTAGATTAAGGCAGCGTCTGGGATGATCTCGGACGTAGGTTCGAATCCTCGTCACGGCCCTTGTGGATTTGTTCACGAGGATACGGATTTGGGATAGGACGGAGGAAAGGAACGGAACGAGGTGTGTAGGGAAGGGGATCAATAAAGGTCAGAGAGTAGGGAAAAAGAATAGAGCAAGATAGAGAAGCAGTAAGAAAAGGAGAGAGTGAGAGAAAGAGGAGAGGAGGTAACGCTAAAGACTCGAACAAGGGTTGTGGTACAAACCACAATAGCTGGATTAGTCAGTACAAAAACACGCGACACTTTAAGCTTTAAACAACACTTAAATGGTTAAGAAATTCCTGAGGTCATTTGATAAAGGTCATGAGTTGATTGCAATACACCCAAGAGTGTATATACAGAACACTCTTAGATTAGAAATACCGACACAAATACACTAAAGAAAAATAAGACCACTAAAGCTAATGTTCACAAAAAAAAAATACGTTTATTACAAAATATATGTCCAAGGAGGACATATTACGTATAACAAAACAGAGCTGAGTGAGAAAAGATCAGAAGTCACAAATGAAGTAGGTTTAGAGACAAACAAAAAAAAGTAAATACAGTACACAAAACTGATAATCAGTATGATATTGAAAGAAGTCGTCTCGGTATAGGTCATGCAAATAGAAACGGGATTAACATCCAAAAATCTTAGAAGAAGCAAAGAGGACTAAATTCCCACCAGTTAAACCTAATATTTTGACTGTGATGGAGACAAAAGTTCTATGTCAAAAATATAATAGTTAAAGAGATGGCAACACTTTCAGGAAGGAGATATATACCATCAATGGTGAATTAAATCATACTCTCACTTGAAGAAAATTAATATAACACGTGAAGGCTCCTTACATAATACAAGCTCATACGAGCTTCAACAGTTCATGACCGAGGGGAAAAAACAAGAATTAATGGTACACTCCAGTTTCACACTAGTTCAGAAAAATGTAGAAAGAAATATATTCGTGGCAGTGTGGAATATGAGGCAGCGTGGAATATGAGGCAGCGTGGAATATGAGGCAGCGTGGAATATGAGGCAGCGTGGAATATGAGGCAGCGTGGAATATGAGGCAGCGTGCACTGAGGCAGCGTGGACTGAGGCAGCCACTCAGACACTCAAGTGGAGTGGCCGAGACAAAAGAGCGAGCATTAGGCTTACCGTGGGGGGTGGCGTGGGAGTAATAAACGCGGTAATTAATGACGAGGCCGTTCCTGTGGCGGGGGGGAGGGGGGGACCAGGTCACCACCAGGCTCGATGACGTCACGCTCTCACACGTCACGTGACCTGGCGGGGCGCTGGGCTCTGGCGGGAGAGAGAGAAAAATGGAAGAGGAGAGGACGAGATGGGAGAGGGAAGGAGGAAACGGAAGAGAAAGTAGGTATAATGGTAATAAACAGGGAACGTTACTATAAGCATTATTTGTATATACACTTCAATAGCACCCACCCAAGAACGCCCACAACTCACTGTCCTCCAGCGTGGTGGCGAGGGCGGGCGGGGAGGCGGGTCCGGCGCCCTTGGAGTTGAAAGCCTGCAGGACCACGGCGTAGCGGGCGTGCGGGCGGAGGCCGGCCAGGGTGGCGCTGGTCACGCCCACGCCATCCACGCCCACCGTCGTGAAATTGTACGCCCCGCCCTCACCCTCGCTGTGAGAGCAGACCACAAGTGTGAGGTGATGGTGTGAGGGGGGGGAGAAAGCGTTTCGTATGATGAATGAGGAAGAGGGGAGTGAAGTGGGAGAGGTGGACACGAGAGAGAGAGAGGGGTGGGGGGGGGGTGGATATGAGAGGGAAGAGGGGGGAGGAGTGAGGGGAGGGGGGTGCAGGGGAGAGATTAAGAGGACACAATGGGTCATGTGCATTGTCAAATCTATTTCAATCAACTTAAGTACCAGCCGGTTGACGTGGGAGAAGACGGCTTATTCTGACAGTTACCATGGGAGGGAAGACTAACTTGGAGATAATCACCGAGAGGAAGGGAAGGGATGGGAGAGTGTTTCACCTGGGTGTCCTGGGAGGAGGGAGAGCCTCACCTGTCGTCCTTGAAGCCCAGGTAGTATCCAAGGACAGTGCCGTGGGTGAGGTTGTGGGGCGGGGGGTCCCAGCTGACCTGCAGTGCTGTCGACGACACCGCCACCACCTGCCAGTACGGACAGTCAGGCGAGACATGAGTGAGTCTATATACTCTGCATGCACCAACAGTCCTACACAACAACGCTAATTTCCTCTAATAAATATATCAAATAAACCAATTTAAGTATTCTGAGGGTGAGAGGACAGAGGGGAAGGGGAGGTGAGCAGGGAAGGGGGTAGTGGAGGGGGGCGACGCGAGGGGGAAAACAGGGGGGGACGCGAGAAGAAAAACAAACACTAACATTAACACCCTGAGGGTATCCTGTCGGGGGCTCCTCGTGCGTGGTAACCCGCAGGGGCGCCGAGGGTTGGCTCCGTCCCACACGGTTCTCAGCCACCAGCGTCAGGGTGTAGGTGGTGGCCGCCTGCAGGTCCTCCAGCCGCACCCTCCGCTGGTCGCCCTCCACCGTCACCTCTCGAGGACCACTCAAACCTGTCAACACACACACACACACAACCACCACCCAAGTCAATATTTTGTAACCCATGCTTCTTTGTTACTACTCTTGCGTAGTGGTGGTGCACTATCTTTCTGATTTAAGTCCTTCTGGTATCCCACACTTATACAACTTTTTTTCCAAACTACATTGAGCGCTCGAAAATCAAACAGGAAAAATCTATCAATTTCCCTGTGACTCCAGACGTTAATTGTGTCAAACACACTAGAACCAATGTGCTGAACCTCAGAACGAGGGGAAACTCGTAGTAGGAACTGGTTAAGAAAAGTGGTGTTTTCTCAGAAGCACCTACCAGGTGATTGCTGGCCGTCGTAGGTGACAATGTAGGCAGTGATGGGGGCGTTTGAGTCCTGAGGTGGCGTCCAGGTGAGTGACAGGTGACGTGACCCCTCTTCTGTCACCGTCACTCCAGAGGGGGGACCCGGCACATCTGAGGGGAAAGGGGGGGGAGAAGTCGTATGTTCTTAAAAGCATATTAGGAAGTTAAAAAGTATATCAAAGTTGTAAGTGTTGACCGGACCACACACTAGAAGGTGAAGGGACGACGACGTTTCGGTCCGTCCTGGACCATTCTCAAGTCGATTGTCCTGAGAATGACTTAAGAATGGTCCAGGACGGACCGAAACGTCGTCGTCCCTTCACCTTCTAGTGTGTGGTCTGGTCAAATACTTTAGCCACGTTATTGCGACTCCTCGCCTGCAAAGTTGTAAGTGGTTCAGGAAGAGAGTATAACCACAGTTAAGACCTAAACGTCAGCACAACGACCATTCAAGAAAGCTTACTATAACGCAGAAGAGAAAAGCTTTGAATGATGCCGAGGGAAAAAGACCCAATACTAATGTAACTATTAGTAAACCAAATTTTCAGATGAACCTACATCCCCTTATCAAGGTTCAAGTTCGTTTACTGAGACAAGAAAAAAATATACATCTCAAAGGGATAGAACAGCTTAGGCTATTTCTACACCCCCCTGTACTTATCTAAGTGACGTAAACAGTTCACACCACCTCGATAAAGAATGCAAGTTCATTAGAAAGTTCAGTTTAATAACACTTTACACAAGTATTGGGTCTCTTCGTCCCAATAAATAAAAAAATGGGATTTATTTCGAAACATAATATCTTAATATTTCGAATTACAAAAGCACTATAACAGAGGAATTTGCAGGAATATCTATTGTCCCACAAGAGTTAGAAGCTGTTTTGTATATAACATCACTCAAACTTATATTATTCAAAAAGCTTTATCTGAACCTTTCTAGCGAGGTTGCTTTTTTATGATGTTAGAGAGCAAGTTGTTCCACACATCCCCAAAGCTACTCATGAACCAGAGTTTACGTAAAGGCATACATGAGTTTACACATAAGCGTAAGTTCTGACTTACATGCTTCGGAACTGAACAGCTTCCGCTAATTTGATATCAATAGTGTGCTTAAATCCTCGAGTGATGCGTCTCTGTACTTATTATGCTGTGTGTGTTTTATGAGCATATTTACTAATGCTGCTTGCGCCTGTATATACATACATACTAATCCTCTGTTCCTTGTACTGTTCTGGGACCACTGTACCTGGTTCTAGGACCACTGTACCTGGTTCTAGGACCACTGTACCTGGTTCCAGGACCACTGTACCTGGTTCCGGGGCCACTGTACCTGGTTCCGGGGCCACTGCACCTGGTTCCGGGCCACTGTACCTGGTTCCGGGGCCACTGCACCTGGTTCCGGGGCCACTGTACCTGGTTCTGGGACCCACTGTACCTGGGACCCACTGTACCTGGTTCTGGGATCACTGTACCTTGGACTAGAAGGTGGAAGTCGGCGGTGAGGGCGCCGTGAGTGTTGGTGGCGGTACACACATAGGTTCCGGAGTCACTGAGATGGGACGACCGGAGAACCAGTTCCGACACCTGGCCCGCCTCCACCTGCCGCTCCGACACCTCGTACCTGTGGGGGTGTACCGGGTGGGTTAGTACCTGGTACCTTGTGGCATACCTGGCAAAGTTAATACTTGGCACCTGAGGGGGGGAGGTACCTTAGTGTGTTTGTACCTGGGTGCCTGTGCCACATATGCCGTGAAACTAAAACTAGGTAACGTTCGAAAGGGGCCTTTAAGAGGCATGTTCCGGAGCTGAGGAGACCAACCTGTGAGGAAGGACGAGGGAGGAGGAGGAGGGACACGATAACGACATACAAGATACCAAAGGGGGGAATTTGAGAAAGTAAACAAAGAGGCATTGTACGGCGCTAGAGACACCAACACGAGGCGACATTTATGGGAAACTAAAAATGACAGATGAGAGAGAGAGGTTCTGCAGGGTAACAGTTGTAAATAATTTAGAGGTTACCTAGGAAGAACCCAAGAGGTTACCTGGGCAGCCAAGAGGTTAATACCTAGTGAGCTAGTACCAGGGCACCTTTAGGGTACACCTGGTAGGTTAGTTACCTGGGGAGCCCTTATAGAAGCTATCCGTGTGGCAAAGAAGTTAAATATATATATATATATATATATATATATATATATATATATATATATATATATACCTGAGGGGAATGGGAGGGAAGAGGAGGGAGATAGTTACCTGGGGAGCGGAGGCAGGGGCGCCGACCCCCTGGTCCAGGTGAGAGCGAGGGGGACGTCACCGTGGGCTTCACAGGTGAGGCTGGCCAGCCCCCCTACCATCACCTGCTGCCGCTGACTCCTCACGCTGAACCACGGCGGCTCTAACAACCACAAACAACGCCATTAGTTGCTACACACACACACACACACACACACACACACACACACACACACACACACTAGCGTACCACAACAACACAATTAGACTCTCTCTAGAACGTCTTAACAGCGATATTGTTAACTGTCTTAACATAAAGATGAAGCGACTTATTAGCGCCATCATTAAGGTGTTCTTACCGTTAACGGCAGCACTACTAACCGTTAACAACCCCCCTTTTGATTCGCCACCAGCGAATTATTTCCCCCTCAGTTAATGGGCCGTTAACTCACCGTTGACGCTGAGGGTGACGACTTTGGAGAGTCCGGCGCCGACACCGTTGTTGGCCTCACACAGGTAGCGGCCCTCGTGGCGGTGGTCCGCCCGACTCACCGCCAGGGTCCCGTTCTCCCACCCGACCACGCCCCCTTCACCAGTGGCCACGCCCACGAACTCTCCGGAAACTGCAGGAGGAAGAGGTGGTGGTGGTAGTTAGCTGCTGGGGAGGGAGGTGGTAGCGCTGGGGGGAGGTGGTAGTTAATATGGTGGTGATACAGGCTTACAGCAACTTTAAGCAGTGACCATTGAAGGTATTCCAGATGGGTTTCTTATAGCCGTGTTTTCAAATCACCGGAACACACGCGATTGCTCCATAGTATCAATACACTCCAAGCCGGAGTGTCTAGAAAAAAAGGGGATAAAAATTTATAGTTTTATAGATGCAAGACATCTATAGATCCTGTGAGGTTAGGAAGGCGGGAAACTCATCTCTCCGAAGACTTCTCCATAGTGAATGGTCTTTAAAATCATTTTTGTCGTATCATTTGCTGTTTAATCTTGAGGCGCCAGAGGTGGAATTGTGACCCTTGTGAAATTGGCTGAGTTTACATACGTATCCGTCAAGGCAATCATGTGCTATTGATTTAGTTCTGAAGCCACCTATTGAGAACACGAATAAATTATTCACACACAATTACGTTCCTAAGTTCCTAATAACTTCATAGCCAGCCATCATGGTGCAGTGGGTAGTGCATATGCCTGGATAGTCTAGGGGGCGCGGGGTTGAATGCAAGGTAACTGCTTCAATATATATTCACAAGTTCCAATGTAATCATCTGAAAATAATTTGAGAATTATTATTCCTCCCAAGTACTACTTCTTAGCTCTTCAGAGACCTTACGAGAGCTTTAAGTCTAATGGTATTACGAGTATATTTACCCCGTGTGAATATCTGGTGTGCCATGCGAGTTTGAGCAGGTTCGAACCTCGTTACCACACTAGATATCAATAAATGTTATTTAAGGTCTCTACCAGCTCGATTTTTTTATGGATTATGGTTCCCAGGAAGGACAAAGTCATAACCAGAAAAGGCATTACTTGACCAATCTAGTCATGCACTGGCCGTTCATCCTCGTAATCACAAAGGATTTCTTTTCGTGATTGAATGTTAACACTTATCTCTCAAGGCGATGCTTCATAGAGGGATGATTTATTTTTATCATAAAAGGATCATTCAACTGGTAAACACAATCGGGTCATATCAAAGGCATCCGCTTCTCTCTCTCTTTCTCCTTGGGTTATGTATTTGTTCTACACAATACCCAATACAGCAAAAAAAAAAAAAAAAACTCAATGTTTGGGAATATAATCTTAAGTTTGTATAACTTCAAAAGGCGAGTTGATAGCACTGTTGTCTGACGGAATGGATTTTGGATTCTGACGGATTGCATGGATCTCGTGTTCGTGCAATATCCATAAAAAAAGTGTAAACAATATCTAATTAATTTCTGTTGTCGGGTGACAGGGAGCCTGTGTATGTATCAACCCGTCCTCAAGCCAGGCTCGTTATAGGAGCGGCCGTCTCCCAAGAAACAGTCATACATTTAAAATATAATTGAAAATACTCTTTTTCGTATATAAACTATATTATTACACAATAAAATTCAATGTGTAAAAATATTAATTTATATACGAGAACAAACCTATTTTTAGGTGTTTATGTTCCGTTGGCGAATATTTTAGTTTGTAGTCAAACTGTCCTCGACTCGAATCCATTACATCCAGCGGTCGACCCCACCGACGCATTTATTAATTTTAACATGCTGTTCATTGAAAATGATAGTTTTCTCCAATATAAACTAATATATAAGCATATTGTGCATATATAAGCGTAGGTTAGGTTAGGTGTTTAGGTTCTGTTGGCGATTATTAGTATTTGTAGTACGTGGGTGAAGCATTTATAGCGTTGTGGTTCGAACAAAAGTCGTCAGTGAAACACTTGTTCCGGAAGTGTTCGAACGAAATCAGTTGCGAGTCGTGAATAAACCGTTTTTCATTCATAAACAGTGGGTTTGGTGGGGTGCCAGTCCGTCCTCCAAACAAAGACCCAAAAGTGATTCCATGCACCCGCCAAACCTACTGTTTATGGATGAAAAACGGTTTACACACTATTTAACTGCTGACGTTCGAATACTTCCGGAACAAGTGCTTCACTGACGAATTTTGTTCAAACCACAACGCTATAAATGCTTCACCCACGTACTACAAATACAAATAATCGCCAAGAGAACCTAAACACCTAACCTAACCTATGCCTATATATGCACAATATGCTATTATAATTTTTTTTTTAGAAAATTCCGTTTTGAATGAACAGCATGTTAACATTTATGAATGAGTCTGTGGGGTCGACCGCTGGATGGAATGGATTCGAGTCGAGGACGGGTTGAGTTGCGAGTAGTGTAAACTGTTTTTCCTTTACAAAACAGAGGGTTTAGCGGCTTGAATAACGAGCATTTGGCCTTTGTTGACGAGAAACGGGCTCGATATATAATTTAAGCTTATATCGAGTGCCTCCCAAAGGTCTAACTACTCACCTTCCTCAAGATGCAACCCAACGACACAGTTACCTATCTTCCGGATACCTATTTACTGCTAAGACTAAGGAGGCCTTTGGTGAATCAGCCAAACGTGCCCAAACATTTTTGTCCCGTCCGGAAGTCGAACTCTGGATCCCTGATTGCGAGTTGAAAACGAAGCCAACTGCATAGACCTTGTGTCACGATGTAGTTTATATAGTTGTCCACATATTACCAACCCCCGCCGCTAGCTGGTTGAACAACCGTCACAGAAACTGACTAACGAGTTAATTTAGCCTGAGGCCCGCCGGCAGTTGGCCACTTACGCAGCCCGACAACTGCGCTTTGCTGCGATACGATTCACCAAGCAATCTCCAATTATTTGTTGATGCTCTTTGCAGGATTATAACACCGATGAATTGGTATGAGTTAATTTGTTTCTGTCTGTCATCAATCTTCCCACATCTTACGTTGTCTAAAAGCGATGCCATCTGGGAATGGAATGTCAACTACGCTATTCTAAATGAGAAATAAGGATTATACACAGCAGGAGGTGGTCCCCACTCCTCGCCTGTTTAACTACAGAGTTCCTCGAGTTCTGAACTATATTCAGGACTATAGAATACTTGCTGGTTGGTCACTAAACTATACGGGGGTGGCCTTAACAATCTTCCACAGGTTCTCAGGCCTTAAACCTAATACCAAACCAATATGAACATGGCTCTGAATGAGAGACAGTTCAATACCTTCAAGGTAGTGTTCAGAATGTCATAAAACACAAACACACACACACACACACACACACACACACACACACACACGCACACGCACGCACGCACGCACACGCACGCCAAAATAACACGGAGCTCAATGGCGTGACAGCGCGCCTCAAGCAGTCTCGGGTACAATAAGTCACATACCTGCAGGTTATTGTACGCGGCGCATAACCCAGGCGATGATGGAGTGCAAATGAGTGTGTGTGTGTGTGTGTGTTGTGATGACGGCTTCTCGGGAGCTCCGCCACACCATTACACCGCCACAAATAACTGTGTGAGCGACCCCAACAATACCTGAGGCCGAAGACTGAGCCAACAGCCAGTGTCCCGGTATCGTGTTTGCCTGCCGTTGCCTCGCTACGATAATTACCAGATACGTAGCCTAGGTGCCTCCTCCCTTACCTTACCTTCACTACCCTTACCTTTACCTTCTCCTCCCTTACCCTTACCTCGTCCTCACACCCCCCCCTCCCTCCCTCACCTTCCCCCTTCATCCCTACCCCACGCCCCCAACCCTTCAAAACACGCCCCCGTTATAATAGTGAAATATTGTGATCGAATTGGTTTGTATTATAATGCCTTGCGAATCAAAATTATTACACGAAATAGCCATTTGTTCGCAGGCCCTTTGAGAACCCTTTGTTGCATTAGATTGCTAAGTTGCTGCCTGAATGCTTTAGTAGATCTTGGAGGGAATATTTTACTAGGGAGGGTTGCCAACGTCTCAGATCAACATTTAGGTAGATTTAAATGATATCGTTTTGCTCTACGAGTTTCGCAATCTGGAATATATATATACGAGAGAGAAAAGGTATTTGTGAAATATATACACCGAATGTATAATACAGTATTGTGGCTACCCCTCCCCATTTTAGATTTCAGTGTTGGTAAGAATGATTCAAATGCATTTCCTATATTCGGTAATGCGATCTTAAATGTATTTAATTTATGGAGAGGTATTCTGAGGTAAAATTTTAGGTATGGTGAATTAAAAAATGGAGACCGCCAGTAAACCCATCTGTGTCGTTTTATTTTTTGTTTGTTTGTCTGTCTGTCTGCTTGTCTGCAAGCCTGCCTCCCTGATTCTATGTCTGCCTGGCAGCCTGCCTGCGCGTTTGCCTGTCTCCAACTTTCTCCCGATATTGTCTCTCCCTTATCTACAAAGATAATTTACAAACATTACTAGAACAAAATATTTCAAAATAACCTCTGACGATAGGAAACTGACAGCTGAATGTTCAGAGATTCTTATATTAGATGTAACTGCTGGCAAGCCAACAACTAGAATGGACAACTTAGCAGTGTCTTAAACCTCAGCTAACCACAGCAATGCCTTAGGCCTCAGCTAACCACAGCAATGAGCCGAGCTGTGATCAGTCCTCAGCTCGCCCTTGTATTGATGTCTCTGAGAGCCCTGATCACAGCGCCAGGGACAGCCAGTCTTCCCAGTGAGACTACAACCAGCCGAAACCTATGGTGAGAATGGTCGGTGACGCCCCTGGGTACTGCCCATGGCCACCCATGCCCAGGGATGTAACCCGCCTCGCCCACAATGGGTATGACTACCCTATTACAACTTTATCACGAAGATGAAAACCGTTTAAGATGTCATCCTTCAAACTGGGTGCTTGGTTAGCAACTTTCCTGCTCAACAATTGTCAATTACACTGCAAACAACCAATAAGAAAGCCCATTCGATCGCTGCTGTGGCCATCATTGGCTGGTCATGTTCCTGCTAATTACTTAAAGCAATTAGATGCAGCCAATGTAAAGGGCTTGTCTAAGCAATTAGCACGGAGGCAGTTCTAATAACCTTCGAGTTGAAGCACT